TGGTCACAATTTCACCAAAGATTTTAATAATTTTAAATTCCAAGTTCAACAAAAAGTCTTAAATTTTTGAAAACTTAGTGAAATTATTGTAGTTTTTTTACTGATGCTAGGAATGTTATTTACGATTACGATTACAAAGCTTAAATTAACAAAAGTGAAAAAAATGAACCACAATAACCAAAAAAATGATCACAATTTTACCAAATATTAGTCTTTAATTTGGAAAACTTAGGGCAATTATGCTAGTTAGTTTTACTGGTTCTAGATATGTTAATTACGATTACGAATTCAAAGTTTAAATTAACCAAAGTAAAAATAAAATAAGCACCATAACTGAAAAATGGTTACAATTTCACCAAAGCTCTTAAAAGCTCATAATCTCCAAAACAAGTAAGATAATTTTTTTTCAGAACAGTTTTACTATCACGGCTTGACGTTGAGTTCTGGGACACCCTGTATAAATATATAATAAAATAATAAAAAAATCTAAACGGCTTGTTCAATTTCGGTAAAACATGTGTTAAAATCGAGAAAAAAATTATAATCAATTAAAAATTAGGCAAAAATTGCGAAAAACAATTTATCATTTATTACTTATGAAAACAAAACCTTAAATTTGACAGGCATATAAATTAACTGATAATTTATATTTAAAATTTAATCGATAAATTCTTTGTGAATTGTAATAAATATATTGATAATTCTTAAAAAATATTATAAAGTTAGGTAAAATTATGTGAAACATAAAAAAATGTTTAAGTCATCATAGAAAAAAACTTGAATGTCATAACGTTGGTTATGTAATTTTTAATGAAAATTTTGAAAAAAAACGCAATATTTTTAAAACCTATACAACAAATTTTTTTTTAAGAAAATCATAAAAAAATAAATTCATGGTCTGGTTTTGAAAGGATTTTAAATTATGTGAAAGAAATCCTTGAAGAAGGCTTCAATTCTTATTGCCAAAATGTCGATTATATAACTTTCTACAAAAAATTGGTAAAAAATCGTCAGAATAATATTAAAAATCAGAATATTATATGTTCTGGACGATTAAAAAATTGCAAAAAAATCTCTGAAATATCAGCTTTTGGAATAAAAATTTTGTTGGAAAGATTTATATAATCTTGGTCTTATTATTATTTGGAATTTAAAATAAACTTTATCCGATAATATTACTTCCATTAATGTTTTTTAAAGTACGTAGAAAATTGCTACTTTTATTTTCATAAAATCAATAATTTATTATATAACGTAATTATTTTAGTTTATATAACTTAGTCAGTATTATAAATTTCGAAAATACTTGATAATTTTATATTCAAAAATAATCCAGTCATCTAATATTTATGATTATTATTTGTCTTTTGCAAAAATTGATTATTGATAAGTATAATTTGTGAAAAAAAAACAAAATAAAAATAGGGTTAAAATAAATTTCAAAAAGCATTCTTATAAATTACTTGATTAAACTAATTTTTATTTTTTTTTTAAAATAAGATTTTGTTTCCAAAAAAAAACAAATTTTTTGGTACTAGAACCATTTTTTTTATATAGGTTCGTCGTCTAATCGCATTCATATCTCCCATAGTTTTTTTAACTATTTTTTATCAAGGGCGAAGAGGTCATTAAGTTTTTGCGAAAGTGTTCCAGTGAAAAAGTATATATATATACATATATATATATATATATATATATAAATATATATATATATATATATATATATAGATATATATATAGTGTAAGGTGAAAAAGATCGACTAAATGGAAAAAAGTGAAGAACATGTAACAAAATGTTATGTTGAAATTTTGATTAGTATATCTTTGCACAAATAAATAAATATATGAAAAGTTATATATATATATATATATATATATATATATATGTATTAAATTTTCCTTATAATATCATTCTGTCATTATTCAAATATAATTTCTCCCCCGGCCGCGTCTAATTTGCGTTTTTTTGATTATTATGTAAATTCGTTTTTATTTTTAACCGAAGTAATATTTTTCTATATAAAAGCGACATTGTACAAAGACGGAATTAATTTTATTCGAGACTTAAATTATTCCACTTGAGGACAAAAGAAAACGATTAGGATGTCATTAGATTTGAATCGAAAAAGATGAATTACATTTTCATTATAAACCTGGGAAGAAAAAAAAATTCTAGTAATTGTGATAAAAGTAGATATGGTTAAATAAATTTTTATTAAAAACCTGTAATAGTTTTTAATAATTTAAATTATCTATTTATGACAATTTTATTAAAAAGATATTTTTAAAAAATTATCTTATATTTGTAGTATTAATTTTAATAAAATTCGGCTATATGGTCATAGTAAATTAAATAAATCTTAACGTAATAATATGTTGAAAAAAATTATATAATATAAAATTTAAAATTGAACGAGTTAAAAAAATGTGTGCAAAGATATACTATAAATTTTGTACCATTATTCCAATTGTGTGTAAATTCATATATATATATATATATATATATATATATATATATTTATATATATATATATATATAGATATATATATATATATATATATATATAAATTTAAAATGTGTTTCTGTAAATGAAAGACATTCACATAGACAGAAAAGAACATAAAATCGATTTTTCAGGCCAAAATATATCCACAAATTAATAACAAAATCAAAATTGTTTTTCAAGTAAACAATTTCAATACTTAGTATATTAATTTGTCGTATATTTTAGTATAGTTTTGTATGAAAACATTTAACAAACAAATTCTAAAACTAAACATTAATTCACACACATAACATAAAACGACATTTGTGAACTACATGAGAAAAAGAAAGTGTGATTTTTTGGAAAATAAATTGTATAGATTTATTTTAAAATTTGGGTTAAATATTTGTAGATATGTACAAAATAAAATTTTGTAAAATATCTGCTAACTTAAATTTGATTTTTAAAATTTTATAATTGAATAAAATTTAATAATACGCATGAGATTTTTGTCGTTTTGGTTATAAATTTTTTCATACTTTTATTTATACTAATTAAAATAAATTTCGTAGATTAATTAGTACAAAAAATAGAAAATTGGCCAAATTATTGTAAATAAACTAAGAAATATTCATATTTTTAAAAATCACACATAAAATTTAGTAGTTTGGCATAAATAGATAAAATTTGTTCATAAATATATTTATTTTTATATATTACTTGAGTAAATAGATTACTTAACAAGTCACAATTTAAGATTGTAAAAACTAATTAATTGTGGAAAAACCATGTAATTTTCACAAATAATTCTTTAAGCTTAACTTTTAAAATTTTGTTGAATAATATTAGTGACAGATATAAGAAATGAAATAAAAAGTTGCATAGATAATAAATGATAATTTCGGGACAAAAACGGCATAAATTATCATCAATTTTAACTACAACTTAATTTTTTGTGAAATTTCATCAAATTTTTGTAAGTCGATAATAATGCTATTGAAATTTCTTATCATTAGGAAAACCTTCAATTTTGTTTTACAAAAATCTAATAATAATCATTTTGTACATATACCCAAATCTTTAACGATTTACCCAAATTTTTATATTTTTTTTGCAGAGAAGTGTTCTAAAAAGTGAAATAAAATATGAAATGACACATTTCACACAACATTTACCAAAAAAATAGTCCACAAAACATTAATCGAATGAAAGTCGAGACATACACAAACATAAAACATAAATTTCTGTGTTTCTGGGCAAAAGTTTCCAGTGAAAGTTTTAATAAATGACTTAATATAATAATTTTTTTATGTTTTTGTATCGTAATAATAGAAATATATTGCACTAAGTGATTTTTTTTAAATTTGTTTAATTGTGCAATATATTCCCAAATGATTTTATTAACAAAAGTGTTGTTTATTTTATATATATTCGATGTTTGTAGAAAAGTGCATAAATTTATTTTATATTTTTTTATATTAAAAATATTTTAATATAAATTTTTTGCTTACTTGGTTCTGCTATTGTCTGTGTACTGTTTTTGTATTTGTTTGTTTATAAATAAATATATATGACATATCACATGTGAATATTAGGTTATGTTACATATTAATTATCACATATTGAGAATTATTAAGATTTATTTTATAATAATGTTTGTTGACTCAAACAAAAATATCTCCAAACATTTTTCATAATCAATAGATTTCCCAAATATATTCTATCAAAAACCAATTTTCTCCCAAATTACAATTTAAAATATAAATCAAACAATACACCACCGAAGCGTTATTAAAAATTTCCTCCCGGATCGATTTCCGTAATTAATTCTCGAGAAAAATATGGCTTTTCCGTTTTAGTAAACTTTTTTCACTTTTTCCACTTTTTCACAAAGAAATCGAAGGAAGGAAAAGTTAAAAAAAGTATTTGAAAACGTCGACAATTGTCGATAAAGTTCGATCAAGTGGAAAAGTTCGCAAGGGAAAAGAAAGTCGAGGGCGCCTCTTAAAAATAATCTTTAATTGGTTTTCTGGACTTTCTAAAGCGGATTTGAGGCTAAATCAATTAATTGAAGAATGGGATAAAATAATACCGATATATATATATATATATATATATATATATACAGGTTTGAGTCACCAAACATTTATAAAACTGCAAAGTTTTTGGCGAGGTGAAATTTTGATACAGTCGACGACGCTGATTGTTTCAGAATAATTTTTAAACTATTATTTTATTTAAATTATTATTCATTGTATTATTTTCGTTTGTTTTTTTATTTTGATAATTTTTTTTTCATAGCAATATGATTTTGTGTGCCCATACCATTGACACCTTTTGCATTGCGATATCACTTTTTTTTCATATTTTTCATATAATTTTTCAGTTCTAATCTAATTCTAGATATTTTAATTACTACTTATTATTTAGTATCAAATTTCCACCTTGCCGATATTTTTCAAAAATATATTTTAACCATTTTTTTTTCAAAATCAATTATAATTTTTCACTAACCTGAAGATAAAGATGAAAAGTACTAGCAGCGAAAAAAATACGGCGACGTTATCCATCGTCCTGAGCATGACAAAGAGTTGTCTCCTCAGGTTAGGCATAAACCTGACCAGTTTCAGGATCCTCAGGAGACGAAAAGTTCTTAGGACTGACAGACCTGAACTGCCGGCCCTTTCGCCCAGGAAAGTTTGACATAATTCGATGACACTAAAAAAGAGGATCTTTTTCGTCAGTAGACGATTTTGGAAAATTTTCTTAGAAAGTATAGAATTTTTTTAAATTATTGTGAAATTAGATAAAATTATCTAAACTTTAGTATGCTTAATTTTTTTTCCGTTTGTACAAAATTTTATAGAATTTGAATCTGAAGTTTAAGATTCCAGTTGTACTGCAAACCTAATAAAATTGTTTATAGGGATATGAAACAAATTTTCAAACTTTTTTAAGATTTCGGTTCATACAAAATTTTATAAAAATCACCTTCAAAATTTAAGATTCTATTAGAACTTCAAACCTAAAAGGTCCCTTGGGAGAATTTTCTTAGAAGGTATAGAATTTTGTTAACACACTGTATAATTAGATAAAAATATTGAAATTTTTGTATACATAGAAATATTTCTGTTTATAGAAAATTTGATAAAAATTTAACGTTCAAATTTACGAATATATTGGTACTTCAAATCTAAAAGAACTGTTTGCGAAAACATTGTACACATTTTGGAACTTTAGGCAATTAGGAAAATTTTCTTAGAAAGTATGAAATTTTATTGGATTATCGTGAAATTGGATAAAATAATCTAAACTTAAATATACTTGGAATTACTTCTATTAATGCCAAAAGTTAACTCCAAAAATTAAGATTCTAATACTTAAACCCAACAGACACGGTACCAATTTTCAAACTTTGCACGATTTTGGAAACATTTCTAGAAAAGTATAGAATTTTGTTGAAGTGGTATGAATAATAGTAATACTTAAAATTCTATTCATACTCAAAAACTGACAGAAATGTTTACATATGGTACGTATTTTTAAACACGATTTTAAAAAAATTTCTGAGAAAGTAAAGAACTAAGATAATGAATTATAAAATAAAATATATTCAGAATAGTTTCCTTTCATACAAAATATTATAAAAATTTAATTCCAAACGTTAGGAATTCAAAATTAACATTATTTATTAACTACGGTTACGTCCGAACATTCTCTCTTAATATATATACATATGTATATATACATATATATACATATATACATATATATACATATATGTACATATATATATATATATATATATATATATACAACTAAGTATATAAATTATGTTACATCCGAAACATGGTATTAATTACAATCCATTAAACTTGCTTCTAATGTGATATGGACTAATGTTACGCACGCCCCATTCCCATATATACAAATATATATATATATATATATATATATATATATATATATATATATATATACCGACCCTTCGTTAATCTCAAGAAAGTTTCATCCCTTCGTAGTACAGGTAACATTTAATCTAAAAAAGATTATTTCTCCCGTTTGATATATTAGTCGACGTTCTTTCACGACTCTGATAGGAATCATATTTATGAATGAGCAGGGAAAAATTGGGAATTGATCACATATGGTCGGAAAATACAAAATAAATGAATAAAGATGGTGTGAGATTTGTAAATTTAATTTTTCCTTACCTTAAGACAACTATAACGCCATCAAAAACATTGAACCCGTCAGCAACGTATCCGAAGGGTCCTTCAGCAATTATTTTCAGGGTCATTTCGACAGCAAAAATCGCCGAAAAAACTACATTGGAATATTCAACAGCCACTGTTAATTCTTCAGGCTGATCGTGATACTCAATTCCCATAGATAAAGTATTTATTAAAATCGCTAGCAAAATTGCTTGCTGGAAATACTTGTGCTCCACCAGGAGTTTCACTTTGCGTCGAAAACAGGAACAACACTTAGAACAAAATCTGTAGAAAAATTTTAAGACGTAGCCAGGGTTTTATTTTTGTAGTGGGTAAGTTTTTTTTATTACCTGTAGACTGCGATGAAGCACCTCAAAATTAAAGGTCTAGGTTGGTCAGTATTAGGTGATCCCTGAATCGTGGTTGTTTGAACATCACACAAACAAGGGTAGTTGTCATTTTGTAACTGATTTGTTGGCCCTAAATCCATATCGATTTGGTTGTGCGGACCAAAACTTTGCTGGATGTTTGAGGACTCGTCTGGTTTTTGAACTCCCTGGAAAATTTTTTAAAAAAATCGGTTTAAGTAGCATTGTGCCACATAACAAGTTGCAAAATTCATTCAAAAAATTTGACGATAAATTTTTGCAAGTCCAATATTTCCAAAATTATTCCACCATTTGATGATTTTCTATAACCAAATAGGAAAATACTATTTATTTTCAGCAAAGGTTGTCCTCCCCTAACATTTATTGAAATTTGAAAAAAAAGATACATTTAATTTTTTTTTACTTTCAAAACCTATTTATTTTCATCAAGCTCTGTTCACCCCCTGGAATCAATTTTCTTCTAATTTTAATTTGAACATAATTTCAGTTAATTTTTTTTTTTGGTTTAAAATAATGCTTAAATGTTACTTTATAAATAACCCTAACACTTTTTTTAAATTTGAATTCAAAATTATATACAAATCTACATTTTCACTTTTCTTTCACAAATCTCTATTTCAATTTTCTGTCTTATCTCTATATTTATTTTAGTAATAGAATAATTTTTCACCACTCTTTTAGTCAGTGATTTATTTATTTTATTGATTTTTTATAACCAAACCTGTTTTCACAGGCCTCCAATATTTTAAAACTATAAATGAATTTCCTTATATCATAAAAATTATCATCAATATTTTTCACTTCCCATAGGGTAAGTTATAGTAATTGCAAAAAAATCGAAAATGAAATTTTTTTTTCAAAACCTTCTGAACATTTTGAAATACCTTAAAAAAATGGATGTATGTGTGTGTGTGCGTGTGTGTGCGGATACAAATTTTCGTCGACGATTTCGGGAACACGGATAAAGCGATTTGAATGATTAAAAAACCATTCAATTCCTATTAACGTGGTAATTAGTTTTTGGCAAAGGCAGGTTCAGTCATTCCGGAGATACGGCGCAAAAAGTGCCAAAAATAGTAATTGAATTTTTAAAACAAGTTTTTCAAAGAAGTCAATTTTCTTTCGAAAGTTTTAAAAATCTCAAAAATTGATTTTTTCAGAGTCCTAAAATAAAATTTAATCTTTTTTAAAAATTTTAATTACTGGTACTGGAAGTTCCAGCAATTTGCCTTAAGGCACGATGCCATGCATCACTAGTTTAGTTATCAATTACAATTAAACTACCCGGCTGATCTTTATAAAGGACGCTACTGACAATCAAATTTGACTTGAGAAAGTAACAGAAATTTGTTGACTTGAAAAAAAAGCAAGGAAAGAACTCTACTAGCGAGCGAAATAAATATCGATATGTTATAAAGAAATTTAATTCTATTGACAAACAAAATAAATACGGACTCGACATAATAAAAGAACTCTACTGACGAGCAAACTGAATCCCACATAGGATAAATAAAAGAGAATTCTACTGAAAAAAAATCGACAGAATAAAAAAAAGAACTCTACTGACAAACAAAATAAATATCGAACCTATGTGCTGAGAAGCAAAGTGGACAGATTGAAAAATTAAAGAAGTCGACTGGCGAACAAAATAAACTCTATTGACAAGCAAATTTTGCTTTCAAAAAAATATAAATAGAACTCTACTGACGAGCAAGTTCGACTTTATAAAAGAAGCAAATAGGACTCTACTGGCAAGCAAACTGAATCTCAGAGCCTTTGAATTAAACTCTACCGACAAATTGAAAGAAAAGGATCTCTACCGACGAGCAAAATTGATTTAGAATGAACGTAAACGACTATACGAGTACAATATAATTAAGAAGATTTGTACTACGATGCAACTTTAAAATGTTTATTTATCTATGCCGATTTCCTTGTTAATATCGGTACGCACACAACGACACATCTCTATTCACGCGACACGATAACTAATCACAATCGACCCGTATAGAAATGATATCATCGAAAGCGAATGACTTTCACTTGACCTTGCCGTAACAATTTCCGTTGCATTTGTACGGATTTACACCCTAGTCGAACGAATGTTTGTTTGAAGTATCTTTTAATGATCTACCTTGCTCAAAGAATTGAAGAACGAGTCCAGAGCAATTTGTCCAGTCGGCAGAGCCGCACTCAGGGCCCCTGAAAGCGCCAATAATTCCTGACAAGTCATCGCAGCTTCACCCAAGTGCAAATCGGGCACTCAACAATCGCAGACTGTTGCATTTGGGACGTCGTACTTTGCAGAGGCATTGGAACCTTAAAACCAACCAAAAAATAAATTCTTGTACCAAAATGTAGACAACAATCATTTACCATTACTTAATCATTAATCATTCTTCACTTATTTATTTTTTTAAGAGTTATCTTCATAAGCGTAAACAGTTTGTTTATCTTAATGGATTCTTGAGCAACATTGAAAATATCAGTTCAGGTGTTCCTCAAGGATCCATTCTTGGTCCACTACTATTTATTATTTTTATTAATGACATTTCTGATATTATTAGCTGTCCACATTTATTCTTTGCAGATGATCTCAAACTATTAGGTTGTCAAATATCTCCCTTCCGCTTTTTTGCTCTTGGTTTATAATACAAAAAGGCGGAAGGGAGATATTTGACAACCTATTATATCTCAAAATAAATTCTATTGATGACTGCTTATTATTACAGTCTCAACTTGACTCTTTCCACTCTTGGTGTATCTATAACAAATTACATTTAAATATATCAAAGTGCAAGATTCTTAGTTTTTCACATAAGCGCGTTCCAATACTTTTTGATTATAAAATTTCTAACACCAGCATGGATAGATGTAATAAAATTTTAGATTTAGGAGTTCTATTTGATTCTGGTTTGTTTTCCACGGATCATATAACTGATATTTGTAATAGAGCACATAAATCTTTAGGTTTGATACTGAGAAATTGTAAACAATTTAAATCTACCAATGCACTTCTTTGCATGTACTATTCTATTGTACGTTCAAAATTAAATTATTTGGTATCCTCATCAAATCAACAATTCTGATGGGGTAGAGAAGGTTCATGCCTTTATTATAAAACATATAAAATTTACCCTGAACGTGGCTTTGACCACAACACTTTACTAAAAGAATTTGGTATTCCTTCCCTTGCCTCACGTCGATTTATCTGTACAAATATGTTCTTATTTAAACTTTGCAATAATTCTATAGACTGTCCTCTTATTCTCAATCAACTATCCTTTATTGTTCCAAGGCTATCTACGCGTTCACAATTATTTTTCAATTATCCTACTCCTAAATCTAATTCTCTCTTAAATTCGCCTATTTTACTTATGTCCTCTAACTTTAACTTAATTAATAATGAAATAGATATTCACAACACTTCACCTAATCAAATAATCTCCATATGCACAAGTTAACCTTTTTATTTTCTTTTCAAATATCTCATTATTTTATCTTATTCTGTTTATAAATAATATTGTTACATTCTGCATTGTATGTAATTTTATGTTAAGCATTTTATGTTAATAACTATATATTGTAATTTTGTATATAAGGTTGTCAAATATCTCCCTTCCGCTTTTTTGCTCTTGGTTTATAATACAAAAAGGCGGAAGGGAGATATTTGACAACCTATTATATACAAAATACTAAATAAATGCACATATTTGAACCCACAACTTATGCATTTGACGTTCAATGCTTATTTTAAAGTATACCGAGTTGCTGTAGGTCATCATAATATTAAACAAAATTAAAAAGAAAGGAATTCTGAACATACTTCTCTAACATCTTATTAACACCAAACCAATACTTTGCAAACTACTTCCAAAAAACTACATAAATACATAAATTGAACCCATATTTTGTGAATTTGACTTTCAATGCTTATTTTAAAGTATACCGAGTTGCAGTAGGTCATCATAATATTAAACAAAATTAAAAAGAATTGAATTCTGAACATACTGTCTAACATCCTTTAATACCAAACAAATACTTTGCAATCTATTAGGTTGTCAAATATCTCCCTTCCGCCTTTTTGTATTATAAACCAAGAGCAAAAAAGCGGAAGGGAGATATTTGACAACCTAATATATTTTAATTTGTTATTCGTTATGTAAAATAACTATATTTTTGAGTCCTCTTGGAGTAATCTGTGGGCTATATATTTAAATAAATAAATAAATTACCTGCCAGATGTCACCATCCCCCGTCTGCGTAGTTTTCTCACTCGAACAAACATTGGCAGACGAGCAACTGGCCACCACCACCAACTCCCAAATTGGATACCAAGTTGACAGTAGACCCAATTGACCAGTTGTCAAAGGGACAATGTTGACAGCCGATCCTAAAGGTACCAGGTTGAGTCCTGATCCAAATTCGTGCTGATCGGAACCAGGTTCATAGAACTCGCCAAGTTGGGGTTCAGAGGGGCTGCTGAATGGTGGAGCAGAACCACATCGCTGAAGGCGACTGAGGAGGAACCCGATTTTCTTCTGCTGGATATGGAGGGCGGTGGTGAGAGCAGGCCGGAGACTGATTGGTTCTGAAAAAAATAGAAGTTGAATTTATTTCTTCATATAAAATGTTAACTCATTTCATTATTGTACTGTCTATTTGTAGTCAAAAGTTCGTTTTGTTCGCCATGAAATTATATATGTAAACTAGCAAACCGATGAACTCCGTTTCGCCACCAGATGGTTTCGTGAGAAAAATGACGAAATTTTTTGTTTGTTTTATATTTGAAGAGGAAAAATGTGATTTTATTATACAACAGTAACGAATTTATTTTGATTACAAAAATGAAGTGTTTTTTTAGTTGAACTTCTCTGAGTAAATGAAAGTGAATCCGCAAATTATCCGTTCCCGCTCTTTGGTAAACCACATTTTTTGTTTTCTGGTCTGGCGTTAACACAAACAAAGCGGATGTTTTTCCAACTCGTGAACAGGCAACGCATACTGCCCATGTGAAAAACAATGATTTTCTAAACAAATAATCTATTTGAAATTTATCCCGAAACACTAAGCGATTGGCCTTGCGACTTGTTATTGTGAACGCAAGGCGAACTGGAAATTGCAATCGTTTGAAGTCAAACGGAAGACCAGTCGGAATCATTGGTATGTCACCAAATCGCCAGCAATTTTTGATTTAATGGTGAAATTCAGTGCGTGCACATTATTATTCTTTGCGGCAAGAATGGCTCGTTGACTTAACCAAGCATAATTCTGATAATTCTCACTAATGTCATTACTCGACATTGAATTTTAATTACGGTGCGTGAAGTTCCAGTAGCTTGCATTAAGGCACGATGCCATGCACATTAATTTTCTTTCTTAGCTATACCTTGCGGAGCCCGAGACCTTTTCAACGAATGCAAAATTGTCGAAATCGTCAGGAGGAAAACCCGACTTATTTTTATATATATAAGATAACAAATTATTGATTATAATAATGTTTTTAGAAAAGTCAATTAGCATAGAAACAAAACGAGCCTGTGGGCTCAACATTGATGATGATGTAATAGAAAAATATCCATAACTGACCTTATAACTAAAAGACAAGTGTGTATATATAATTATTATATTAAGCCAATTTGTTCGAGTCAAATTCTTGTAATATAACATTATTGGCTGAATTCATATAACTTTAATTTTCAGCATGGATTAGCCAAAGCTGGAAACCTTAAAAAAAGTTGGAAATGTGGCACTTTAGACGATTTTGAAAAATTTTCTTAGCGAGTATCAAATTTGGTCAAACGTAGTGAAATAAGACAAAATTATCTAATCTTGATATATACTAAAATTAGGGTTTATACAAAAACCGACATTTCAAAAAACCGGTTTTCGAATTGTAATTTTACTAAAAAAAACGGTTTTAACCGGTTTTTGAATTTTATATAGAAAGTAAAATTTTTGCTCGAATATCCTGTAATTCATCTGCAAATTTAGTGTTTGACTGAATTAATATTATTTTTATTTTATTTAGTAGAACTAAAAATAATAGTTTATCTTGATAAAATAACTTTGAAATAATTATTCGTTATTCATGCATCATTTTCAAATATAAGAATGAAAATATTTTTAT